TTCCTGCTCAGGCATTTCAGCTACTCTTGACTTTTACTCTTTGCAGTAATGCCAGACCTCTGTTTCAGTCTTTGACTGTGTAAGCTCTGTTTTGAAGGAATTCACTCCATTGCACACAGAATCCTAAAGAGACTCAGTGTCAAACCACCATCCACCTTTTATTCTCACCTTGATTGGTTACAAAGGCTTCAACTATTGACAGCACTTTTACCTACCCATCTCTGAGACTTTTACTTCTTTAAAGTTTCCAAAATGAATTGGAACATTGATCTTGTTTGCCTACTCTTGAGTCTCCCTTTTGAAAGTACTCTTATAGTTTATGGTAGGACGGACCTGAGAAAGAATGGGATCCAGAGAGACTGGGAACTGGTACCAGGCAATCCTACAAATATCCTGTGGCCATTGCATTAATGGAGTATGACCTTTTAGCAATGAAACTACTCTTTGGTCATCTTCTTTTTTTGTGCATTTCCCCTTCAATTTACCTTTAGCCACTTCTTTCATTGATAACCTAGGAAACAAGACTCAGAATGGGTTAGCTACTGTTTGCTATTCTTAATGCAAGTATTTACCAGGAAGCATAATCTTAGGAACTATTTGATGTTGCAAATTGTTGAACATAAGCTTTTATAAAAGGAGTCCAGGAATCCTGTGCATCTGTAGTTTTTTGTCAGTACCCACAGCAACGTTTGTGCAATATACTAATTCTTCAGTATAACAGATTCATATCTAATATGATGATTTTACTAAAGATAATTATTAGTTTTTTGTGGGAATTGTTTTTATAATCCTGGAGTTTTCTTTTTGCCTAAGAATCAGAGTTTACAAATTTCTAAAAAGTTGTGGCACTCCCTCTAGTAATGCCACTTTAACATAAGACTATTCTCAGCAACTTACGTGAGAAGTAGATAAAATAAACTGAGCTCAAGTATTTACTACCAAAATAAGAGGTAGGAAATAGTCTCTGATTTTTACCTTTTATAAAGGTAAAATTTGTATGACTTTGACTCTTTGCTGGATAAAAAGCATGTAATCAGATAATGGTGTACAGGATAAGAAGTTTGAAATTGAAAATAATTGCGATAATCAAAAATATGCAACATCTGTATGTACTTTCCATGCTATAATTCTTTTCTATTTTGTTTCTTTTTTTAAATTTTATTTATTTATTTGGTTGCGCCAGGTCTTAGTTGCAGCAGGCAGCATCCTTAGTTGTGGCATGCAAACTCTCAGTTGTGACATGAATGTGGGATCTAGTTCCCTGACCAGGGATTGAACCCAGGCCCCCTGCATTGGGAACGCAGAGTCTTATCCACTGCACCACTAGGAAGTCCTCTTTTCTATTTTGAGAAAGGTCTTTCAGCTGTTATGCTGAAAACATACATGTGAATATAGTGTAAACAATTCCAACTTCATAAGGCATGTATAAACAAATTCTCATTGGCTAACCATCATGTCACCAATAGAATTGGTAACACAAGGAAAACAAAGAGCATATTTCAAAGCAGCAGCTTATTTCTGTGTTCTCCACCCCCATTTTCTTTTGTTTGGCAAGCTAGAACACTGCTTCAAAAAGTTCCAGTAGATTCTTTCTCCTACATTGTCAGCATTCTAAACTTCTCTGAAAACACTTATGTGCTATCTAATGTCCTTTCGTTAGAGCTAAACAACTTAAAACAAACAAAACCCCAAAAACCTCTGAGAACAGCCACTACCAGAGCATTCTTAGATGGAAATTTCTAGTTGTTTTGAGTGTTGCAAACCTTCTTGCATTGCTGTGGAAGCTCCTGTGTTCTTAGTGGTCTCTTCATGGAATATTGTCTCAATCACTGTAGATTTATTTGTTTTTTATTCAGGATAATTTGCAAGTAGGGAAATGGAAGTGAATTTAATAAATAGTAGGATATTGCCAAATAATTCAGCTAGTAATTTGATCAATGGAATATTCAAACTCTGTTTTTTGATATTTTAAGAGTTACTTTTAGGTGCATTGATGTTGGCTATAAAGATTATAATACTTTCATACTATTTTAATAATAAAAGTAAATTGAATTCATAAAATTGAAAAAATTCTGGAATTCAGGATACCACATTCTCATTCATTGTGCCTTGGACAACTAAATACTTGTATATTATTGTGCATATTACTTTTACTGTCTAGGATCCTACTCATCTGTAAGTTATTATATTTAGGGTCCCTTCCTGTTCTGACAGTCTACGAAGACATATTGTATTGTCAAGCTTTCAATAAACTGTCACAATGGCATATGAAATAAAAAGCAAGGACCTATTACTATGAGTTTTAAAACTGAGGAAAGTAAATTACTTTTTTAAGTAAGGGCATCAAAGTACTATTTATTCCACCTGGTTGTTAAAAAATATTTGAGCATCTGCAATGTAGCAAGTATTGTGCAAAGCACTGGTGATACAAATGCCAAACAAAACTTTCCTGGTTTTTGACCTCATGGAACTTCTTTAATTATAGACTTTATTCTAAGGAAACTGTATTGAGGTAAAATATAAGAACTCCAATTGTTGAAGAGATGTCTAGGGGAAGTTTTATTTATCATCCACTTTGGTTAGTTTTGTTCACTATGAATCTCTGAGGTGCAGCCATAAAAATAAAAAGAATCCTAAAGACCTGGCTGCAGATGCATATATCACTTATTACATTATTTATTTTGAAATAATTTACTTGGGAACACATATGGAAAAACAGTTGGGTATTTTACATCAAGGGTGAATTTAGGGTCTCATTTATTTCCATTTTATGTTTATAAATGAGAGTTGCTTAGACCCCTCTCATTTTGACATTGGTTTTGGGTTTGCTAATGTCAGCCTGTCAGTGGAGATATTCTAGGAGACCAACCCAGGGGCAAGACTTTCCTAGGTTTCTTGTCAGAGAACTACTAGCTGTTATAACATTACAGATGGCTTTGAAGACCTCAGAAGCTATAGAGAGCAGAATGGCAGGGAGAAAAGTAACAGAACTGGAAGGATGGCATATAAATGGAGGAAAGCTACTTACATAGGGAATAGTCCAAGAAACAAAGAACAGTGAGGAAAGAAAAAGGAAGGGAAGCTTGAATTCAAGTAACAAAAATCCAAAAACTCTTTCATTATTTTTGGAAAGGAAATTGTATTGATACATGCCTATGAAAAAGTGAAAGGACATAAAAAATACGTATTTAGCCTCTCCTAGTATTAAATAAAATTAACTTTCTGATGTGTAAAGCCTTAAATAAAACCTTAGAAATTGTGAGTGTAACTAACATGTAAATAATGAAAAAATATATAACATATAGTTTTGAGATTAGATATTTGATAAATTTATGTGTTTTAATTGAAGTTTTAAACATTTGGGGCTCAATATGGGTAATAAAGTTCTTAGCAATAGATTCATTAAAATTAAAAATCAAACAAAATGTATTCTAGTAGTTCAGTGTTTTCACTTTTGTAGAAATTAGATACTATCATCTGAAATCATAATTTAATGGCCATCTTTTGCTTTTTTCTACCTCATCCCTAGTCATCAGAAACAACATGGAAGAATTGAAAGAACAAAGATTTGAAGTTTGACAGAAAAATTGAATAACTCCCTGCTGAGCCCCTTGCTATATGTAAGGCCCTGGGAAAGCTAACTCCTTCCTCCTCAGAGCCTTAGTTTTCTATTTTGTGAAGTAGGAATAATGACTACCTTATAATTTGTTGTGAAAGAGGAGCAATATTCCTTGTAAAATTTCTTGAACTCAATAAATGACAGTTTCAAGTTGAGATCCATTAACTTCAATCAAATTTGAATGCCTCCAAATAATCTAAAATTTTTCATTTTTTCTCAATAATTTACTTGCTAGTAACCTTATTAAAAGAGTTCATAGGTTAACTGATGTCATGTACCTAAAAAAATTGATAAGGAGTTAATTTTGTTGGCATTGTCCAGTCAATCCATTAAAAAAATTAAAACTGTACTCCCTTTTTGGCTCCCTGGCTGTGCCTTATGTGTGTACACAAGTATACGTAATCATTGCAGATTCAAACATTTCTATCAAACTGCTGAATGTTATGTGG